AGGCTCTTGTGAAACCTCCCTGGAAAGCCTTTCCTCCTCTCTCTCTTTTCAAGCGACTGTGAACTCGACACCTTCCAAGAGCGTCCAAGCTCACAGGGGCAGGAACAGCTGGGTTTGCTTTTGTATCCCCAAGTAGACCTGGAGCCTTTGCCATGGCAGGTTCTCAATCCACGTTCTTTCACTGACTCATTCGGAGCAGGCACTTAGGTTCCACATATCTCATTTGATATACACTATGGTCCCCCTCCATCTCAAGCCTTCCAGAACCACCACCTGCCTGCAGGTAGGATGTCTGAGTCCCTCTGCCCATGGTGCACACCTGCTGGGCGGCTCTGCAGACAAGGGGCGTCTTCTGTTCCTTTCTAAACTCTACGGCTGCTCTCCATGGTACCAGTCTTGACAGGACCCTCCCTCTCCACCTTGCCCTCATTTTCATTTCAAACCCTTTAGAGTAGACTCAGCGAGACTCTAGGCCAATGTATTTTTGGGGCTCTGAGCCACGTTCGGTCTAGCTCTGGCCAATAACCCATCATCGCCATGCTTGGGGCCTCAAACACCAGCTCAGTCAAGTACTCTCCAAACTTAACTTCCGAATACTTCATTGTGTGATGTAGTGTCAGAAAGGCAGGTCCTTGGGACCTCTGCCCCCTCTGTTCTTTCTTCTTATTCCTCCTTAAAATCCTGCTGACAATCCTTTAAAGATTTTAGAGAGTCAGGATACTTCCCTCCTCCAGAATGGAAACCAACACCAACTTTGTGTACACATTGGGAAATCCTTGCTCTCCCCATCTGCTTGGGTTTAGAAAACTAGCATCCCTGCTTTAAAAAGAGGACACCATGCTAGTCTGGCAAGACCTGCTCTGGCTGAAGCCATGCTGGCTCTTCGGAAAGACTGCTTTCCTTCCTAAATGCCCTCCATGTAAACACCCATTTAAGAATGTGTTCTAGAACCTGGCTAAGAGTCAAGGTCAAGATCACTGACCTCTACTTTGGGTTCTCTCCTTTTCCTCATCTGCTGATTGCCAGCCCCCTCCTTCTCTGGGCTTCCCTTCCCCTTGGCTGTCTCAGATCTGGGCCATTCCCACACTATCTCCAGCACAGGGCTGTAAGGAAAGCTTCTTGCAAACATGAAGTGCACCTGGAGCTCTTGTCCAAGACCCACATACCAATGGGTGTCTTGTCCTACTGTATTTCACAGTTTGGGCACTACACACCATTAATCTGCTGTCTTTCTTCTTCTTCAAAGGCTTACTGAGGTTGCTTTTATCCCCACTATGGTCACTTCCCAATAACTCCCCCCTCGTCTGTCCATTCATGTGAGAAAAACATAAACACCACCAACCCAAACAGTGATCTGTGCTGGCAACATCCCACACCCATGTCCCTCCACTTTATTTTTCTAGCAAGAATAATTTTCTGACAGTGCTTACAAATATGAGAAGCAGTGGACAAAGCTCCTAAAGGGACTCCCCCCGGTAAAAATACGAGTGATGAAGGCAACTGACTACTAAATCAGCAGGTAACATTCCATCAATAACTCCTCCGTCCAGTGCAAACCTCTCCGAAGATGGGGATATTTCCCACATAATAAAAACAGGGAATTTATCCCTTGCAAAGCTGAGATTTTAGACCATGAAAATGTCACTTCAGTTCTTGTTAAAAAGGAAGTTTCTGTCTGATCTGTCAAATACGGAGAAACGGCAAAAGATATGCATGATATCAACTAATGACAACTGGTACAAAATTCAGCAAAACCAGGAAAACAATATACCCAATGACTATTCCCAACAGAAACTGAGAACGCCACCATCACGACACAAGGAATTCTGCAAAATTACAAGAACGAGCTTGGTCAAAGAGGAGCTAGGAGAAAACAGCTCCTTCTACTCTTTGGCAGAGATGGGTGGGGGATGGAGCTATCACATTTTATCAACATGTTTTTCCAGTATATTCTAAAGTATTCAACATATTAAGTTTTGCTGAATTGTTTTCTCTTCCTCTTTTCCTTTATTAAAAAAAAATTCTTGAGGGACAGCTTCTGTGGTGGGAGGGATAAAGGGTGTGAAAGGAGGAGGCATGGGCGATGTGAAAACAAAAGATAGTAAAGATAGTAAAAAGCAACTTTTTTAAAAAGGAAACTCTTCTAACAATCCCCTTTCCCAGCTCTCAGGTAGACCTGAAACACCTGAGGTGTCTCCCATCTTGTCAACTACACCGAGGCATGTATGCAGCTACAAATCACAGCCTCTCACAGCTGCAAGGGACCAGGGTCATCCGGCCCAACTCAACCCAAAACGGAGATCCCTTCTACAACAGCCCTGGCAAACGCTCATCCAGCTGTTATTTAAAGACCTCCAGTGACGAGGAGTCCTATTCTATTATTGGGAAATTCTTAGTTTTAAGAAATTCCTCCTACTGAACCGCAGCCAGCTTCCCATCCCTCTGCTGGAACGCAGGAGAATTCTACTCTCCTCCTTACACGTCACCTCGCCCTGAGCTGGCCATATAGTTGGTCCCCAGTACCATCCAAACTCAAGTAATTGTACAGTCAAGTGCTGCAGGAAGATTTGGGGAAGGGGCAGATAGGGAGCGCTGTGGATAGAGCACTGGCCCTGCAGTCAGGAGGGCCAGGGTTCAAATCTGACCTCAGACCAAACACTTGACACTTACTAGCTGCGTGACCCTGGGCAAGTCACTTGACCCCAGTTGCCTAAAAAAAAAAAAGATTTAGGAAGACAAGCCATTTCCACCACCACCACCACCACCACCACCTCAGGGGAAGCCATCATCTTCTCCTGCCTGGATGACTGCAGTAGGGGTCTGCCTGCCTCAAGTCTCCCCCCCTCCAATCCAGCCTCCATTTGGCCCCCAAAGGGACACAGAAGTGACACAAAATTAGCTTCTGGCACACTCTCATCTTCAAAGTCCAGTATCAAATCCCAAGGCATCCAAGGCCCGTCTTCTCGCTCCTCCCCCTACGTCCTCTGGGATCTGATGTTGCTGGTCTCCTAGCTCTTCCTCCCCCAGGATGCTCCATCTCCTGATGCTGGGGGGCATTTTCACAGCCACCTGTGTCTGGAGCTCTCTCCCTCAGCGTCTGTCTCTTTGCTTCCCTGGCTTCCTTTAAATCCCTGCTAGAATCTCACCCAAGAGACCCTGTGGATTCTCTCCAACTTCTCCTGCACACCCACCATCTTGCTGGTACGTCATTATTTGCATCGTCTCCCTGTTAGCGCCATGCCCGCAGGAACTCACCCCCTCCCCCTTTTGTATCTCCAACACAGCACAGGGCCCGGCATAAGGTAGTTGCTTAATCAATGCTTGCTAACTGACCAGCTGGAGGTCATCTTGTGGACAATGGGTCGGGCAGAGTGGGCAGAGCCATGGCCTTGAAGTCAGAATATCCACCTCACCCCTTCCTGGCTGTGTGATCCTGGACCAGTCACTTGCCTTCTCAAGCCTCAGCAGCCCCTCCAAAACGCCCAATAGACCTTTACACAGCATAACAACGTCCTCAGTATACTTATCTCCACTTCACAGGGCAGGAAAGGAAACTTCAAGAGGGCAGGGATTTGTTCCAGCTCACTCCCATTAGGCTCCCTCGCTCTTTCCCCTCTAACGTGGAGCTCAGCCTCCTCACTGAGCTGATGACAGATCTGACATCTAGGGCTGAACATGACCTCGGAGACCACCTGGTCTAGCCCCTCCCCCCATTCTGCTGATGAGGAAAAGGGACGATAGTGTGAGCACCAAGAGTCAGCGGCAGAGGAGGGGCTAGAACCCAGGGCTCCTGACGCCTCAGAACCAGGAGGCAGGGGTGGGGGACAGGGGACAGCCAGCATCCTGCGGTCACAGGCCAGGAGTGGAGAAGGGCCTTCCTTCAGACATGGTCACAGGCTTCCTCCCTCCTGGGTCTTGGTATCCACAGATTGACACAAATGTCAAATGGACAAAAATGATGACTCAGTCCCGTGGGGCATGCCTGGTGGCTGGTGGCAAGCAGGGCTGGCTCCCGTTTCCCTCCCACACGTTCCAGCCTTTCTCTGTCACCTCCCCTAGCAGGGTTCAGTGAAGGGCTCCCTGAAGCCCCATCCTCGGCACACAAAGAGCCCCAGACTCAGGAGTCAGTAAATCTGAGACTGAATTCCTGCTGTGCCGCTCGGACCTGGGGTGACTGACAAGGCCCTGAATGTCTCAGGAGTCGCTGCCCCGTTTATGATACGGGTGTGCTACCCCTGCCCGCCACGTCTGCTGCACCCCAAGAGCACAGGCACCCGTCCTCACTGCAGAAGGCCATCGGATACAAGCATGCCCTGCCAAGGTCCTTCAGTAGATGGGGATTTCAGGAACGTGCCTCCACCGGGCACCGCACTTGGTGAAGGAGACACTCTTCTTGTCCCCATTTCACAGCTGAGAAAGCAGACAGGAGTTTAGTGGCTTGCTATGAGGACCCAGGTCTTCTGGACTCCAGGCCCAGCACTCTCCCCTTAGTCCACCTGAAAAGAAAGGAAGGCTCAGTCTATCCAGGCCATGCTGACTAAGGCTGCTCACCTGAGGCCTGTTATTTCCAGGCTTTTCCAGTGTTTCTGAGAGAAAGGGGAGGAGAAGAAATGAACCAACCATGGCATGGAGAAAAATAGGTCACCAGCCACCCACTCCATCCTCATCTGATCCTCTTGTTTGGACTTCCCCAACATTTCCCAACGTCTCTGTCACTCCCGACCCTCTCAGAGAGCCATCCCTCGTAACAAACTGCAGGAAAGCAGGGTGGTCCTGTGCCTGACCAGTGTCGATGTCCACCTGGGAGGGCCAGAAGAGCTCAGCCGTGCTGAACCACGAGGACATGGATGCCACAGGGTAGGATCATCTCCACCCCCCCCCCCCAGGATCCCTCCCAGCTCTCAGTGCCATAACATGGGGGTTGGGGGAGGGGGCAAACTCACATGGTTCTTTGTTTTTTTGAACAAGAACTTTCAACACAAGCAAGAAAAAAAGTCAAATTCTGTCCAACATAATTTTATTTTTCAAAGTCTTCTCGATACATCAGAACATTAAGTATACCCTCTTCTAATCTTGAAACCAGCAAGATTAGACAGAAAATTAAACTTAAGTTTTTCCATCAGTAATTTCTTTCTCCCCATGATTGTACTTAAGGATTAAATTCATAATTGTTTTCAGATAAAAGCGGGCACAACCTGAAAAGCCTTTTTCTTAATGAAAACAAGCAAGAATGCATCACATCACAGGAGGACAGCTGCAGCCCATCCTCTCCTGACGTGTGTCCCCGGCTAACGGCCCCCCTCGGATGCTGCCCCCCAGGCTAGGACAAGGTCGGTCGGTGGGCCGGTGCCAAGGCCCACCCGCTAGAGAAGGTGGTGCCCATGAAGGGAGGGGCTGCCCGTGCACGGGCTACACAAAGCGTGTTGTAGCGGGAGGCACCGCTGCTGCCACTACACTGACAAAACCCCGGCTCACCTCCCAGGTGCCAAATGCCAGGGGCCTGGATTCCACAAGACAATAGACAAACCAACCATCGGTGAGGATTCTGCAACTTCCATTGGGACAGAGGGGAAAGTAGGGGAACGTCCAGGCTCATTAGCCTCTAAATCAAGTCTCTGTTTGTGAGGCCGTGTTCCAAACTGAAGCCACCTTGGCAAAGCAGGGAATGTGGACCAGGCCTTTTTCTGGACCAAGTGCTTCCTTTATTAGCAGTTCAAACGATGACCCTAAAACTGGCAAGGCAGACCAGTAGCAGGCTTGGATTTCTGAGCAGGGGCAATGCCCCTTTGGAGACTCCTTTGGAGTCAGAAGGAAAGACCTAAAGCAGGCTGACCTGCCACTTTCACAAAAAAGGCTTGTTCAAGTGTAGAGTTTGACTTGGCATACCGTAAAGGCAGTCACCGAGAACATGGGGAATTCCCACCAAGAATGGGAACGCCGGCCACGGTCACTCTGTGGGGCCATCACCATTCCAGGGATGGGCTGAACGAGAAAGGCAATGGTGCCGAGACTGGTGCCCGCTGTGCCGAGATCCGGGCAGAAGGAAGGGAATGCCCAAACAGGAGACATGGTCCCTGCCCTCAGGATCTTAGAGGCCGGCAGGCTGAAAGCGTTTAAAGAACTCTTGGAGAGCACAGCCCTGGTTTGTTTGGATCCAGCCATTTGATTCCAGCCCGAGGCCACCTGACTACTTCTTTTACCCTGGAAACCCTCGTGTTCTCATGACTCGACCATAAGCGTTTCCCTCTCCTTCCCAGGGTTGGACCTGCTGATGCGACAGGCAAGCGATGGTTACTTCAGAAGACTAAACTGCTCTGAGTAAATTCTAAAAATATACTATGTGATGTATGTTAAATCAATCTAAATACCTAACTGAATCGGTAAAAACTCACCCATTCTAGAAGATTCTAGAAGAGTACAGAAAATAGCCTACTTTTGTAAAAGCTGTGTCAAGTATTTCACTATGAGAACGCACGCAAGTGACTCTAAGCTCGTCTTCTTGTACTTTAACAGAGCCTACTTTGCATACATTTTATCATATTCATAACTAGGAATAAGAATAAAACAATGGCCTAGGACACAATTTAGTAATTATGCTGCTACTCGAGGAGGAATGCCTTCACTGAAAAATCTGGTTCCTCTGATAATGGTACTTTCAAGTGCTTCGGCAGTAAATGAACCATTAATCGTGGTCTGGAGACAAAACACAAACACTGAAAGCCCCCATGACATACAGGGCTGGGGCTGAAAAGGATAAAACTTCCAATAAATATATGGAACTAAGCAAGGCAGACAAGATTCCAACACTCAGGCCTCAGGCCCCCACACAAGGTAATGCAAATGGACACACACAGGAGAAGAACAATTGCATGTCTGTCGACAACACTCGCTTTTGCAGTTAATATCACTAACGACAAACGATTCACAGAGTAAACTTGTGATTTACTGACCGCCGGCTTCGAGCAGCACAATGAAGGTCATTTTAACCACTCAGCCTGCGCCAACACAAAGCACCAACGTTTGCAATCCCGAGGGTTGGGTTTTCTAAAAAAGGAAAAGTTTGTCTCGGAGCGCCTGTCTTTCTGCCTTCAGAGCCGAGCGCTCCGTGACCTGCTTCTGCCAACACGCCTCGGGAGCACCTGCCACCAGCTGAGACAGTTCTCGTGAAAACACAACACTGGAAGGTGAATCATGAATTACGATTGTTGAAGTGCCAGTATCTGCCAGAGGCCAGAATTCACTGCACTATGGAAAGGTTCAAGGAAAGCCCCCTTAGCCCTGAATGGGGAGAGAGGAGAAGGAAGGCCCCGCCCTTCCATCCCGAGGATTTGCAGATGAGACTGCCGACCTCTGGCCTTCCCGTGGTGTGTGACTGATGGGCAGGACGCATGTTATCTCAGGCCCCTCAGAGAGGTGGGCAGTGCCATCATGAACAGCTTTGCCAGCCCCAGGCCCCTGATGATTCACCTCGTAAAATGCTCAGGACGGTACAGACACTGTGGAAAAAAGGCAGTTTTCTAAAATCAACATTTAACTATCAAAAATAAATTCCAAATTTCAAATGTGTGTATGCACCAACAGAACTGGTCTGCAACATTCTTTCTAATAAATATGTCTGAAGATTTACAAGCGCCGGCTGCACCCCAAGGCCTCCGCTGGCAGCAGTGTCTCAGCTGAGGGCTTCCTGCGCTGGGGCCTCCTCAATCCCTCGGGCGAAGAGCTGCAGCAGCTGGCAGTGAACCCTGAGAGCAAAGACGTCAGAGATCAATCATGGCACAGAGACGGCATGAGTCCCAGCGCTAAGTCTGCAGACTGCGTGCAGTCAGCTCACGGGAGAGGGGACGGCACAGGTCTCGCCTCAGAGAGCTGGGATCTGAGTGAGCCTGGGCAGACCTCTCCCCATTTCCGAGCTCCGGCTCAGAGTGCTGTCGTGAATGGGAGTCTCTAAAGGTGCTGCATGTTCTCAGACCCCATCCAGCTCTTCCATTCTAGCCTAGCAGGAACTCTGTCCCCTTATTTCTAAATAAAGGGGCTGGAGGAGCATGCCCAGTCCTGACATGGGGGCAGCTGATGCTCAGAGAAGGGCTGGGACTTGTGACCACGAGGGGCAGACTGAAGGCTCCCGTCCGAGTCTCCTGACTACGGCTGCTCATCACAAGCGCCCGGTCAGTGTCCGCTGACAACCCGGCCCAAGGTAGGAAGGGACACGGAGGGGAGACACCCACCTGACTTCAACAGCAGAACTGTTCAGAATTTCTCCATCACAGTTCCAGGTACTGTTAGGAAGAGTGCAGCAACAGGCTGGATGATCACTGCAGATCTGACCAAATCGTTTTTTCCCTAGATCTTTGAGATCACCATCCTCATCTTCCAAATGCTTTGACGTGAACTGAAATTTCCTCACCCGGTAAACCTCAACAAATGCAAAGTCAAACTACAAAACAAAGTAAATAGGATAATTATGTCCTTAAATTTTGTGTTTTTGGAAAGCAAAATTGTACGCTGAAAAAAATCCTCCAGTCTTCCATGACTACACGTGGAATTGGCATGTCACCTCTCATTTAAGAAACAGAGCCATTTCCCTAGAGAGGGCATTCCTGCTGGTCTGGTTTCTAGGTTGGCTGATCATTCTGGCATGGGGAGAAGGATGAGGCTCGTCTCCGGGCCAGTCCCCACTCTCAATCCTGGTGCCTTGAATTCATGCCTGTGCCCCTAGTTGGACTGCACTGGCCTTTCAGACTCGCCCTCCAGAATCCAGGCAGTGAGCAGCCTCCCTTCTCACTAGGCCAGAGCAGCCGTTTACATAGCCTCTCAATGGGCCTGAGAAGCCAATCACCATATAAAAATCACCCAAGCAGCTTTCTGAACAGTCTTAGGGCTTAAACAAAATCACACAGCAGCCTGTTTGTAAAACTCTTCCTGAAAACTGAAGGTCCCGCCAGCTGCCCCTCAGCCTCACGGTTCCTTAAATCTCTAGCACCTTCCACTCAGCTCCTGCTGTGGGCTGGTCCAACAAGAGAAGCCACTGAGCATTGCATGAAAAAGTCACTTGACTTTGCACAGCCCCTGGCCCTCTGCCCCAGTGATGCCCCCATGGGGGACACACCCGAGGAGGGCAAAGTGCATGGAGGACTGCCAGCAGCATTTTTTGTCACAGTGAGTGAAGAAAGGTGACGCTGCTGTGCCCTGAGAAATACACCTATGCGGAATGCAAAGAAACTTCAAGTCTCCAGCCAGGGACGACACCCCGGGGCAGGCAGTGAGCCTCCTGTGCCATCAGCCTCTATGATATTGTTGTGAGGAAAAGCTCTGGGGTGCAGCTTGAGGCTTAGCAGGCATAGAGAAGAAAGAACCACAGTAAGACATTTCATTACTAGTGTGACCCCAGGCAAGTCACTTAACCTCGACTGCCTCACCAAAAAGCCAAAGACACTCCAGAGCTGCTTCCTTACCTGACCCCATCCTAAATCATCCACCCTGGGAGGGAGTGTGTGGGACCTCTGGTCCATACTGATGGAAGCTCGGGGCCATGAAGGCAACACACAGAGCTGGCCCTGCTTTATGGCGGCTGTATGTGCATTCTAAGTGAATCCTGGATGACTGAATCTCAGTTCTGTTAAATGCAACAGGGTTACCAATAAATATGAAAAGGGCCAGACAAGGCAGAGGCAGAGAAAAAATTCACCAATTCTTAAATCTTTTTTCCTACTTTCATAAAAGGCCAACTTTTTTTAAAGGGCAAGACAGCTGCTAATTTTAAGAGGGTTTGACAAGATCTTAAGACTGACAGACAGCACCAACACGAGCTGTTATTTTTCATAGTGAAAGAGGAACATGACACATCTTCATTTAAATGTCCTTTTTTAGAAAAAGTGCCTTTGGTAGATGGGTTCAAGGGACAAACCAAGTTTCTGAACACTCCTCCTAACAAAGTGAGCACTCCAGAGAGGCCTCCCTTTGACCTGTTCTCGCGAGCACACGATTACACAAAGACAAATGACTCGCACAATCAGATGAGAAATCGAGAGCGCCTGATATTCCATGCCCCCAGGACGCCTACCTGGTCATCTTGGTTGGTATGCCTGATGAGATACCTCAGAAAATTCAGCCGGGAACATTTGCGGACCAGGATGAGGTCTGAGGAGCCATCGGCCAAGTGGGCCACCGGGGACAGGCCCTTGGGGCTCCGAGGACAGGCGCAGCTCATGTTGGCTGCGTTGATCGCCAGAAACTTCCCCTGGATGACCTTCCACTCTTCTACATCCTCTGGAATGACAATTAGAAGGCTTGGTGGCTAAAGGACCCTGGGGCTGCAGAACCCATTGCCTGGGCTGTGAAAAGAGCGGGGCCGGCCGCCACCATGCCATGTTCTAAACCCACCTCCAGCTGCAACATGCAACTCAATACCGCCGACAGATCTGAAGCACCTACTATGTGCAAGGCCCTGCTGCAACACAGCACAGAGTCCAGGACCCGTGAGCTTGGCCTTGAAGAGAAGGAAGATGATGAGGATGGCACCAAAGTGGGAAGGCGGGAGAATGTAAGGCAAAGCTGGAAAATGGCAAACAGTAACTTGATAGCACAGATGGCAAAGAAGTTAGATGGGGAGGTGGGGTTGGGAGGCAGCTAATACCACTGGACGGAAGGATGCTGAGCATATGGGAATAGGGAGAGGAAGCAGGTCTGGGCTGGTAACTCCCAGCTGAGGAGACTGCCTCTCCTGATGCAGGCAGCACCTCCTCTACAGCCTGCAGCTTTAGGAAGCAGTAGAGGCACCATCCTCTCTTCTACACGCTTCTGCCTGTGGCTGAGCTCGCCTGCTCCACCCTCGCACTCTCCCCAAGGCTGCTTGTGAGGCAGGTACAGATCAATCTGGCCACAATCTTCTCTACCAACGCCTCAGCCGCACCTCATGTTCTCAGTGGCCTTCACTGTTCTTCCTGCTCCTAAGAGACAAGACTCTTTCCAAGCCTAGTTTCCACACAGACCTTCCCTGGGTACACTGGTCTACTCAAACTTCCTTTCTACCTTTATTTTTATCTATGACCTTCCCATCTCCCTGGGTAACATTCAGAAATGGTAGCAGTGTCTGGGAGAGGTGGTTCCAGTGGCCTGGAGGGTGAAAAGAGTCTGTCATAAACACCTTTCTAGCTGTTTTCCCCATTTCCATCTGTTGTCCTCATTTCCTCCTTCTGTTACCTTGGTCAGACCCAGGTCTCTTGCCAAGCTTTCCTTAAGTTGGTTTTTGCGGCCTCTGCTTCTTGTTTTATGAGATGCGCTGCTCGTAATCTTCTCCCAACCTTGTCTGTCCGATTTCCTAGACAGATCCGTATTCTAAACTGTTGTCCCTGGTGGCAAGGATTCTGCTTCCTAAGCCTCATTCAGCTTCTTTTGGCCTCTCTGTTACAGTAACTGATCTAAACCGATCGGACTTCTCGAGGAAATGGTACACGTGTGGCTGGAGGCTGCCATGCTCCTGTCCCTCCCCCGCTTCAGTCAGAGCTGGGCTCCCTGTATCCATTTTCCCCTATTACTTTATTCCCTCTCCTAGTTTTGTGTTGATGCTGATGGTTGCTCTCTCAGGCTGGTCATTGGGCTGAATACAGAGACACGGTTTGGGAGGACATCAGTACCAGGCTGTGAATTCAAAGGTTTTACATGTCGGGCACTTGATTCTTTTTCTGCAACCTAGTATCTGAGGCTGCTCTGCAGGCTACAAGCCTTCCTAAGTCCTGAACCATCCTTTCGAAAATCAGCCACAGAAATACAGCCAGAAGGGGCCTTCAAGGTAATCCCCTGTAGGGCTCTTTTCAGCACCTTCCCTTAAGCCTGCCCTCCTCTGTTTGCGTGGAAGTGGTCAAGTATCCAAATACATGTTGGACTTAATTTGAAGGATCTTACTGAGTTTTTGTAGAATTTCTCTACTTCCTCATTGTCTGCAACAGATGTTGGCACAGAAACTGCAATTATTTTTCTGGTGGTCTTTTTGTAAATACTTATCACGAACACAGCAATAAGAGATGATGAAATGTCCCATGAAATGAGAAGCTAGGTGGCTCAGTGGATAGAGGGCTGGCCTGGAGTCAAGAAGACCTGAATTCAAATCTGGTCTCAGACACTTACTAGCTGTGTGACCTGAGGCAAGTCACTTCACCCTGTCAGCCTTAATCTGCTGGAAAAGGAAATGGTGAAGCCCAGGAAGAGTCTAACATGCCTCACAACCCATGAAATGATGCTTCTTAGTACTTCTAATGCACAAAAGCCAGCTCCTTCATCTCATTTGCCTCTCTAGGGAACACCTGGCTCTGTTCTCATTCAGCTCTGACGCCCCCTCCTCTTCTGCTCTCATTTCAAAATCGTCAGGACCCATTTCTGCCGGTGTGACATCTGGCTGGCTGTGAGACAAGGATCTCAGCTTAGAACAGCTGGCGCAGTGTTCATGGATGCCCTAAAAACCACATGTTTCTTAGCAGCTTTAGCCTCTTTCCCTTTCCTCTGGCAAGACTCAGAAGGGTTTGCTGTTTTCTTTGCTGGACATTCAAGCCCTTCCTAGGCCGGCCCCCTCCTTGTTCCCCAGGCTTCTTGCACCTGACTCCCCACCGAGTCCTTTACGCTCTCCACCTTCTGGCGTCCCTGGCCTCCTGGGAGGCCCTGTGGGAGGCCTGTCCTGATTCTCCTTCCCCGAGACTGCCCTTTACTTACACCATATATAGTGTGCATTAACCTCGCTGTTCCTGTGGTGTCTCCTTTACTAGAATGTGAGCTCCCAGAGGGCAAGCACCATGTTTTTGCCTTTTTTGTGTATCTCTAGAACTTAGCACAGCGCCTGGCACACAGTAGGAATTCAATAAATGCTGGTGACTTCCAGATCTGACATTTCTCAGTACAGATAACAGCCAATGTAAATAAAGCAGAGTCTAGAGCATGGGTTCCTAATCTGAAATTCATGAACTTAAAAGAAAGTGATAACTTATCTCTGTACAGTCAGTTTCCTTTGTAATTCTATGCATTTTATTTTACAGATTTAAAAATATTATTATGAAAAGGTGTTACCAGGTGCCAAAGGGGTCTATGCCCCCCAAAAGATTAAAAGCCCTTGGTCTAGAGACCAGCCTAAGTCAGGGTCTATAGCTTATAAACTACTATTTTGAGTAAGGTTAAAAAATGACAGAAAACATATTTTCCATATATATATGAATTTCTATGGTTACTTAAACTTCTTAGGGATTTCATCAAAAGTTACAGCAGTTCTCGTATGGTTTACTGCCCAAAAACTGCTATAATAGACAATTAGAAAAAGGAAAAAAAACAATCAAAATGCTATGGTTTAAAAATTCTTTTTTTTGATCTTATAGAATATATCAAACTTCTAAAATAGAGAAGTTCTAAACTTTGAAACTATTATTTTAATATTGAGGGTTTATTGCACACACAGCAGAGAACACCACAGTTAACTAAGTATGTGTGCCTTCAATTGGGAATGACTTAGATAGTGAATGCTACATTTATTTTAAAAAACTGTGTTTTTAGAGACAATGACCTTGCTTGGAGAATTCCTTTGCAATGTGCCTCTAACCAGCATTATAGATTCACTCAGTCCCATCTCCTGGGAACGCAAAGACTTTTCAAACACACTGGCTGATGCTTAACAAACCTTCACTCCCACAAAAGATTTCAGAGGAAAATGGGTACGCCCTTGTTTTCCACAACATCTTCTCACTGGGCACCTAAAGGAGGAGCCTCTTTAGCCACGCAAGGGTTTGGCAGCTGGGGAGAAGGAGGGCAAAGTTGACCCATTTCTAACTGGTGGGGCTTCTGCTCCACAGGGCGAGGGTCCTGCTATAGTCAGCTCCCTCGAGGGGGATATTCCTCCATCAAGAGCTGCCCTGGGGTACCAGGGAGATCACTATGTCAATAGGTCACATCAAGGCCATGTAATTGTGTCCTAAATATTGCCTTAGCCAAGAGAGCAGGCAAAGGGGACCTCAGCCCCTGGGAGGGGAGGGGATGGAGACAACCAGAACCAGGGGGTTCTTGCCTTTGAGAAACTTACAGTGTACTAGAGTTCAAAAGAGTGGACATAAATCTGCCTGGTGGGAGACCCCCTCCTCAGTCATTCTCAACCAAAGAGAGCCCAGGGCCAGCCTCTGGGGAGGCTCTTCCCAAAAGGTCAGCCACAGGGGAAGAGTGAGTTTGGCCACAGCTGCTCACCAAAGCCATCCCCTCAGTCCCCAAGGGCTCTGGAGGTTTCCCAGCATGAACGTGAACAAAACAACCCTCGGGGATCATGTGACAAAGGAGAACAGACACCACACTTCTGCCCTGGGGCTGTCAGAGGATCTGGTGGGACAATGTTGAGGCAGAAATGGACTGGTCAGGTCCTGGCACTCTCTGAAGTTTCCTGTCCTGCCTACACCTCTCCCTTCCCTAAGTCAGTCACCAAGCGCCTACTGTGTGCCAGGCACTGCTGAGTGCCGAGAGACGGAGAGGCCAAAATGAGCCGTCCTCGTCCAGCGAGGATCCCAGAACGCATGGGCAGGCACACGGACGCTGGCTTCACAGCACAGGCCTCCTGCAGAGGGTGGGATCATGGATGTCAGAAGATGTGAGGCAGGGGGGTAGGGCAGACATGGGGGACCGCCGTGGCACAGACACTCATCCAAGTCCCCCCAGTTATCCAGACACTCAAGAGAGCAGAGATGTCCCAGAAACTCCCGACCTCCGACCGCTCTGTGTCTCTTCCCCATCTCTCCTGTCCCCATGCCCATGAACCCCTTCCCTTCCTAATCATCTGCTTCACCCTTCAGAGGCAGAAGGGCAGGGGGCAGAGACTGTAGAGTCACTTCATCCCTCCACCCTCAGGGTCTGCAGTAACACCCGCCAGACCCCGCCCCTCTCACAGAGTTCTTAAAAGGAAACATTCCTCAAAGTGCTTTTCAGAAAACCAGACCCCTTCCCCTGTCTTCTGGGAGAAGCTGCTCCCTCACACCACAACAGAACACCAGGGCTTCCACACTGCCTCCCTTCCCTAAAAGCCTTCTTCCTTTTGATCAGAAAACCATAAGAATTCCTTTTCAAAAAGATCTTTTTCCAAAATATGAGAATATTAATGACTTTTTAATTAAGAAAAATGATATCTTTTTTTGTGAAACATAATGTCATGCTGTTCAAAAGGCAGGTCAGCTGACCACTTGACCTGTCCGTGGGTTAAGAACCCAAGTCAGGGGCAGCTAGATGGCGCAGTGGATAGAGCACCGGCCCTGAAGTCAGGAGGGCCTGAGTTCAAATCTGGCCTCAGACCAAACACTTGACACTTACTAGCTGTGTGACCCTGGGCAAGTCACTTAACCCCAATCGCCAAAAAAAAAAAAAGAACCCAAGTCAAATGTCACCTTCTCTGGGAAGCCTTCTAGGGGCCTAACAATCTTCTCTGTGGAGAAGAATGGATGGTAAGTGCTAGCTTTCATTATTTGTGCTTCCCATTATAATGCAATGCACTTGTCTTAATGCATATTTTAGGAACGTGTGGAAGATCTACCATATCACAGCTGCACTTGGCATGTCCAGCCCCAGACCAGCACCCCGATGGGGTGGACAGGAAGCCCAGTGTGGGCTCCTTGGAGGCAGGGAAGGCAGGCGAGCACAAAGAGCCCATTCCCCCCACGCTGGCAGGAAAGGCCTCCGGGGACCCTGACAAGGAGGTGGAAGAGGCGTGGGGTCCCCAAGGGAGAGGGGGGCAGCCCACCCCTTCTGAAGCAGCAGACAGCAGAGAGGCTGACTTCTCTGAGGATTTACCTGTGTTTTCCAAGCCATACAGGGATTTTTTCTGCTCATCTTCCAGCTGCTGCTTACTCTGCCTGCAAATGAAACACCTGAAAGACAGGAATAGTGTTACCTTGAAAGAAGTGTATTTACCATTAAAATAAACACTTAGAAATTGGGAGTACAGTTCACCTTGCATAGACCAAAACTCAATTTAAAAGGTTTCACGAAAACACCTCAAGTCAGGGGTAAGCACATCCTAAAGGACAGCTGTAAATCCCAAAGTGACCTTTTTTTCCTGCCCAGACGTAAGACACCTAGGCACTAGGTCAGAGGCACGGCTGTGCTCCCTGTGGCATATTGTGACTTGGAATCCAAGAGGAGTCTTAGGAGAGTCCCGATGGAGCCTCGTGGAGGTGAAGGGCAGGGCTGGAAGTCAGGCATTCCCGCCCCCCAGCTCAGCAGTTTGTCCATCTGCTCTTTGTGCTGACAAACCCCGACAGAACAGCCTCCCGTGGCCTGGCTAGCACCTGACAGCCGCTGGCCAGAGGGGCCTGCATCCTGCCCTGGGACAGCTCCCAGTATGGTCACTGAGATAGCCCTTTCAGGTGTACAAAGAACTTCATATCTATCATCTCACACGATCCTCACACCAACCCTATGAGATAAGGCCTGTTATTCCCATCTTACAGATGAAGAAACTGAGGCTGAAAAGGTTAAGGATCACCCAAGCTAATCAAGGTAACGGAGGTGCGGGCCTCCCTCTGCCTCCCTGCACCTCCCCCTCCACCCCACCGCTCAGTCTGGCCCCAGGGGCCAAGCAGAACCTCTTCAGTCGCTTGAGAACCCTTCAAGGCTACTCTATTCTCCTCTTCTGGCTCACTGCAGCCTGTCCCCCCATGGCCTGGCCCAGAAGCCACACAGTTAGTTAGAAGGGGCCCAGAGGTCATGACACGGACAAGGCCACACAGGTCATTAATGGGCAGGGTGAGGACTCAGGCCCTCGGACTTCCACCCAGACCAGTAGGTGGGTCTGTCCTGCATATGGACGGCCCCAAAAAGAAACCAGAAAGAAGACACTTGGTGCCACAGATGCTTCTCCACGGAGCATCTGCAGGACCCCATGCTGTGAGGACCAGCAGGCTCAAGGGAACGGCAAGCTCAGTCCGTCTGCTCTGACAGAGAGAACAGCCTAGAAGAGCATCTACCGCATGCATGTGTGTGTGCGTGCATGCTTGTACGTGCGTGCACAGGAGGCCGCAGGAGAGAGGCACCTCCACCCGGGGCTCAGGCATTATCTCGGCATCCACAGGGCCGCCGCCCTAGTTCTGGCCCTCATCATCATCACACACCTGGCCTCCCTCGGACCCAGCCCACCCTCCACAGAGCCCCAAACTTAGAAAACACCAGAGCACTGATTTCCTCCAGAAACGTCAATCCACCCTCCTCCTCCCTGAACTGGACTCTGACCACCAGGTGAAAAGCTTTAGGGCCCATAAGGGGAGGGGAAGGGAAGGGAAGGGAAGGGAGGGGAGGGGAGGGGGAGGCGGCCTTCAGGAGGCCACAGCCGCTGGTCTCTATCCAAACGCCCAGGGTTTCCACAGCCGGTTTCCCGACCCCGGCACATGCTGCCACCTCCAGTGGGAATGAGCACCAAAGATTCTCTCACCCCATTCGGCAGGGCTTCTTATCTCGTGGAGAGCCCACAGTGTGCTGTGCCGGCAGAAAGGCCACCGTTCCTTCATAGCAATGATGAGAAAGAAAGGTCTTAAAACCTACAAATAAAATGGAAGAGAGTTCAGTGGAATCTGCCAAGCCTTTAATGTGATGCTGACTCTCAAAAATTCTGACTCATCACGTCGGACTAGACAAGCTCCCAAGTCTTCTGACGATGGCCCCCAGTGTCCTGAGCATCATCTAGCCACTTCATCTAGCCCCCTCCCAAACTTCATGCTCCTAGAGACTTTTCAACCCCAAGGGGGTCAAACACTCAAAGGGCCCCACGTACTCCAACACCCACAGGAGAACTTCTGTAATAACAGAGCCAGAGAGGAAGTGCTAAGCTAGTCGAAGTGCAGAAATGTGCTGGGAGGTTACCGGGCAGTAAGAGGCGATGATGACGATGGTAATGTGGGTCATTCAGACAAACATGGAGAGCTGCACGTGAGTTGTGACAGCCGAATGAGAAGGAGAAGGAGAAGGGCCCGTCCCAGGACCGCACCACTGCCAGTGAACAGAAAACAGATGGGGCTCGCGAGCCGGAGTGGTGGGGACGTCGTCGGCTACTGACGCCAAGGCTGGCTACCTGGGTGTCCCTGGGGCAGATGGTTCTGCCTCACTGTTCTCCTTTGTTACAAAGGAGGATTAGATTCTGGGATGTAGGAGTGGGAAAGGAGGATTTATAGGCAGAAGTGACTGTCATATTAAACTCCCGAGTAAAAGTTCTCTGTTACCTCACTCTCAGAATGTAGCTGAATTGTGCCTGCAAGTATTCGTCCCCTTCCTCACTGGTGCTGATTGCACCAAGCCCCACATGGTGTGGGGGCTCCTCCTAAGGTCTGTGGCCCCCCAAAAGGGAGCACCCGAACACTGCACAAAGGGAAACCAAATGGACCAAGCAGGCCTTCCACGGCCTCATAACCAGAAGGGGGTCACTGAGCTAGTCTGACAGGGCATCTTTCTTGGAAAGGCAGCATTGATGCAAAGGAAGCCAGGGGACTAGCCTGGGCTGGATTCCACTTGGACAGCCCTGCAGCATCTTCAAAAATGCAGGCTGCTCCCTGACACAAGGACAGAGGAGATTCAAGGGGGAACAGATGTGCTGGCATTTGTAGAGTGAATTATTCTCATCAGCACAACAGTGGAACCACCCACGGGGGCCAAGGGGCCTCAGGAGGAAGGAATGATGGCAACGAAGATGAAACACAGATCCTGTGGCAGTAAGCAAGCAGCCCCACAAAGAAACCTGGGTCAGAAGGGCCCCCACGTCCGAGCATTCTGAGCCTCGAGATCTCTCCAGCAATGGCGCACTGCCAAGAGGGGGGTTCAAATGCCTGGGTCCTGTAGAGATCCTCACACTGGCGTTCTCTTTGTGACCAAACCTTTCTGAGCATGGCCAGGGATCCGTGATGAAAACGAGGAGGAAAAAGGAAGGTGTTTGATGCAAAGCAAAGCTTTTCAGCACCCCAGAGCACAAGGACGTCTAGAGACGGCGTCCAAGGCTACAGAGAGGTCAAGGAGGACAGATGAGGACCGAGAAAAAAAGGCTCCAAGAGATCTCTGCCAACTTTAGTGGAACGAGGTCACAAGCCAGACCTCAGCAGGTTTAGACGCAAGAGGACAAGTGGAGGCACCTGGTGTAGATGGCCTTCTCGAGGAGGTTAGCCACACAGGGCAGAAGAGATAGGAGATGACAGTGAGAGGGGATGGAAGGGGCAAGTGAGGGTTTTGAGGATGGGGAGACACGGGCATGTTTGGATACAGGAGAGAGGGGGGATGACAAGAGGGGCAATCTGTTGGAGACGGGATGCAATGTGATCCCTGCTGCACGTGGAGGGACCGGTCCTGGCAGGAAGGGAGAGGAGGGAGTTCTCAGGGACCGGCCTTCAGGCTTTTTCAGGTTTTTCCCTTCAGCTGAAGGGCCTGGGAGGATTGTGGAGGGAGAAGGTATGGAAGAAGAGCGGTGATGAGAGGGCCAGGGAAGGATGAGGGAAGTGTGACTTCAGCTGGCATGGAGACAGGCAGCTTGATGTCACAACTTTCTCCAGGGCTGACCAATCCCTTCTCACCCAAAAAGAAGGAAGGGCATTGAACCCAGCAGATGGATGAAGGAAGAAGCCGCCAGGGTTGGGGAAGCTAGGTGGCGCAGTGGATAGAGCACCGACCCTAAATTCAGGAGGACCTGAGTTCAAATCTGACCTCAGACACATAACACTTACTAGCTGTGTGATCCTGGGCAAGTCACTTAACCCCACTGCCTAGCTGAAAAAAAAGAAGAAGCCACCAGGGTGGGAACACAAGATCTCCCCTTCGTGCCGGCCCCTCCTCGGCACCCTCTCCAAAGAGGCCTCTAACGGGGCCACGGCCTTTAGTCCCACATGGATTTCTTCATCCTAACACCACTCTTTAATCTGATTTGATTTTTTAAGTTAGGTTGAGCCCAGTCCTAATGATTTCTCCTCAAAGAAGAAGGCAAGCTCTCAGCCAATGGCATTGGTCAACTTAAATTTCCCATGTATTAAGTGGCCCAAGAGAGGTGTAAAGAGTGGGCGTGGGGTCTACAGGAATTGTGGACTTTACTGCACAGAAGGACAGCCAACCTTAATTCTCCCTTCCTAAAATGCTCCCCCTTCTAGTTCCTTAACTGTTTAATGTGTAAGAACAGAAAAGATATGACATTCCTCCACTACTTAAAATACAGAGAGATTGATCCCTCAGATATAATCTGGGGAATTTTGTTTCATTTCTGAGTTCTTTCTTTCTTAATTTTTGGAATTACAAGAAAATCAACCCATGTTCACGCAGTGTTTGTGACAAACTTACCCAAGAACTGTTACCTAACTCAGTGCCCAACATGAGGGCAGAGGCTGAGAAGGCTCAGACTGAGAAACAGTAAAGTAAAGCAAGTCTGCAACATGGCGCCATGGAATTAAGCAGGGATCATTCTCTCTAGTACAGATCAGGACCAGGGGGTCACCAAACTGAAAAACCCTGATGAGCCTGTCAGGATAAAAGCTGTGAAGACTATTCTAATTCTACTATTCCCCTCAAGTGATCACAAATCACCTCTCACCTCTGACCCTCAGAGCCCAGGCCCACCCAGGCTGCTGGGGCTGAGGACTCAGAGGTTACTCATAGAAGGGCTGTTCAACACAAGGATCTGAGAGATCTCCCAAGGTCTCATGATGGAAAATGCTATCCACATCCAAAGACAGAACCATGGAGTCTGAATGCAAATCGAAGCTTATTATTTGCCATTTTTTCCCTTCTGTTTTGTTTTATTTCCTCTTTCTTGTGGTCCCTTCTATTGCTTCTAATATTTACATACAACATGACTAATGTGAAAATGTTTAATAGGAATGTATAGGTATAGCCTATATCAGATTGCACGCTCTATTGGGGAGGAAGGTGGAGAGGGAGGGGCAAAAATTTAAAACTCAAAAGTTTACAGAAATGATTATTAATAAAAAAAAAATAAATTAAAAAAAGTAAAATTTTTTAAAAAAAGAAAGGGCTGTCACACCCAGAACAAATGATTCCATGGGATTTGCTTCCCCCCCCCCCCAGCTATGCTCGTGCATGCACTGATGTGCTCCCAGGTCTCCCTGTAGGCTCCCCGTCTTGCTCCCCTCTCCCCACTTCTCCCGAGCCTCAAGTTACCTGAAAGGTCATACCGGATGAGGCCCATCCACCGCTTTTTCTCACTGTCCCTCAATATGTCTCCATAGAAACCGTAGCCCAGCAAGGACACAGAATACTTCAGAAATGCATTGTTGTGGTGCACAGAAGACACGTCCATGGACAGAGAGTCCCCTGTTGGGAAAGCAGCAGACTTGCGTTAAGTCCTGACTGTCCTCCCTTCCAATACGCATCTGGTATTTCTGAAACCAAGAAAGAGACCCCACTGAATCAAAGGGAAACCACCACAAGGCTGCTTTGCGAGCAAGGGGAGGCCTCAGCACCTGATGGCAAAAGTCAGAGCACATGCTGGGGAGGGGGGAGAAGCAGGGGAGTAACAGAAGGGGCCATGGTCTCCAGCTCAGCGTCCTGACTGGGACCACGGGACACCAGCCAGATTGTGTGACCTCGAGCGAGTCATCTGGCCTGCCTGTGCCTCAGTTTCCTCATCTGCAGTCTTACCCAGATTCCCAAGTCATAACCAACTCTAGATTGAACCAGATCTGAAAGGACATGGCTCCTGTGCTCAAAGATTAGGGAGGGGAGAAAATCTCTTCACACACAAACGATGGCAGCACACACGTGAAATGAAGTGCAACGTTGCCCCAAAGTGCCGAGATACGGAGGACAGCCCACCACGGCCTGGACCATCTGTGGAAGGGAGGTGAGGCTCGAGGGCAAGATTGAGGAAGGGAACGAGCTCAGAAGGGAGTGGGAGCAAGGCCGGGGTGGCTGAAGGTCCAGAGGAGAGGAGGCGGCCGCAGTGGCAGACGGGCGAAACCATGCCTGGTGTGCCGGGACTGGGGCGAGGAACCTGCGTCTTCAACAGATGGGAATCAAAGAAGAGGGCGGCACTCTGGGCGTGAGGCCCAGCAAGCGCAAAGGCCCGGAGGGGAGAAGGCGAGAAATCACGCAAGACCACAGAGACCGTTTACGGAGCACTGGGCGTCGGGCTGGGGCTGGTGATGCACGTGCAGAAAACCACCCCCGAGTCCTCTTGGGGTGTCTGCAGTGTGCTGGGGGAGACAAGGTACAGTGATGGGCGGGGTGTGTATGTGATGTGTGTGTATGTAGTGTGTGGCATGATGTGTATGTGTTGTGTTGTGTGTGTGGTGTGTGTGTGAATGGGTATGTGTGTGTGGTGTGTGTATGTGGTGTGTTGTGTGATGTGTGTGTGTTGTACGTGTATGGGGGTATGTGTGCATGTGGTGTGTGTGTGTGTATATGGTGTGTGTGTGTGTGTGTGGTGTGTGTGTGATGCATGTGTATGTGGTGTGTGCATGTGTTTTGTGTGTGTGTGTGTGTGTGTGTGTGTGTGTGTGTGTGTGTGTGTGAGACTACCAGTGTCTGGGGAGGGGAGGGGGAGGACAGAAGCAAAGGTTTCCAGTACGAGGTGCTGACCGAAGTGCTTCTGAATGGCTGGGCAGAATTCCGTGAAGCACAGGTAAAGAGAGAGGGTGCTGCAGGCCCAGGGCACAGCCAGGGCAAAGGGACAGAGGTCCACATGTGAACAGAGAGCGGTGGTGTCAACTTCCAATAGAAACCGATCCCTGTGGGCCACGTGCTGACTCAGAAAACCACAATGAATATTTTAAATTCATTTTGTTCAATACGTGGCAGGGAAGGGGAGCAATGTCTAAGGAAGAAAGACAGGCTGGGGCAGGGCGGCAAGAGGCTTGGGAAGCCCAGGAGCACAGAACGCTCTCGGAGACGAGGCCTGACTGACTGCTCTGCCACAGCCCCCGGAGGCTGGCAGCCCACGAGGTTGTCTGCTGCTGTCACAATGTCCTGGCCTAGCAACGGTTGTGCAGAGTAAATGCTTCCTGAATGCTCTCAGGTGAGGAGGCCCCGGAGATACCAGGAGAGGGGCCAGGGCCTGAAAGAAAGTGTGGCGTGGACTGTGTCCTGTGTCCAATGGGGCTGAGGTCAGCTTAATATCCAGGGATGCCTTCCAGTGAGGTGCAGTTAATAAATAAGGGATGCATCATTATTCCACAGTAGCACCGTCCTGCCTAAGGCCCCTGGCTTGTTAGGAAGCACTTTTACACAGTAAATGACTTACCAATAATAATGTGTAACGCTGACGTCACTGGGTCATTAACACCAACCGTGGCATAGCACACACAATCCGTTGAACCTAAAAAGAAGGGATTCTTGATCAACTCAGGGATGAGGATGAAGGCTCACCACCCTTAGCACCTGGAAGTTTCTCAGCCTGCTCCCATAAAACTCCTAAGACGCCCAAAGAAACAACGGCTGCCTGGCCCCATTTCACAAGAGAAAACAGAGGACCCCTCCCCAGCCACTTTATTCCTCCTGCTCTGGGCCTCCCAAGTGACCCCGAGAAGCCCACCGCCCCCTCCTCCTCCCTAGGGCATCACGGCATTGTCTTCACAAGGCGTCGTGAAATTCTAGACTGCCCCTGTTGTCCCTCTCAAAAAGAAGCTGAAGGTGTCGCTTGCTGGTGGCTGGCACATTCTGAACATGCCACATTGGACGGTGGTGCCAGGATTATGAGCTTTGCTTAATGACATGAAGGTTTTCAGAGGGCAGGGGAAGGTGAGAGGGAGAAGAAATGGCTGACCGAAGAAAGCACAAGACACAGGAGGACAAGGCCAAAAAGAATCACAGACGAGGATGACTTTGAAAACTGCATATTGAATTTGTGAAATATTTAAAAGAAGGAGGCGGAGCCAAGATGGCGGAGTGAAAGCAGTGACTTGCTTGAGCTCTCCTCCAAACCCCTTCAAATACTCATAAAAAATGGCTCTAAACAAATTCTGAAGCAGCAGAACCCACAAAAAGACAGAGTGAAACAAATTTCCAGCCCAAGACAACCTGGATGATTGATCAGAAAGGTGTATCGCGGGCTGGGAGGCAGCAGAGCGTGGGTGCACAGGCCACAGCGTGGGCACGCAGGCTGCAGCAAACCTGGAGCAGGCCTCAGAGGACTGAATCTCGGGCAGCTGTGGAGGTTTCCAGACTCCTCAATCCACCAATGCCAAAGACAACTTAGAAGGTCAGTGGGAAAAGTCTGTTTCTGCAGTGCTGAGGAAGGAAGGCAGGGTTTCAGTTCCATTCCCCAAGAGCGTGGCCCTGTGGGGGGGCAGCTGCTTCCAGCCCACAGACTGAGGGGGAATCCAGTGGCTGATCAGAGAGGGATTGCAGGGATCTCTCTGCCAGTGCTGAGGCAGGAATCTCTTGCTTTGCCCGTTTGGATCTGGGCCACAGTTCTGGGCAGCGGTGCTGGGGTGAGGAGGAGCGCTGGCGTGGTGGAGCTTGTAGTGGTTGTGGAGAGGAGCCCCTCCTCACAGTTACAGGACAGAAAGGAGTACTTGTAGTCGCAGGTCAGGAAAGGAGTAAACACCTTGCCCCTTATCATACCACCTTGGAAGAACTGAAAATTTACAGGGCCCTACAAGTATCTCTGAAAACAGCTGTACAAACCCCGAAGCTTGGGACAGTACATTCTCCACATTGGAAGCAGATTCGTACCTTAACAAAGAGTTTAAAACTCAAGTAATTGGCCGGGATCATGAGCAAGCAGCGCAAAAAGAGTCAGACTATATTATCTTACTTTGGTGAAAAAGAAGACCAAAATATACAACCAGAAGAAGACAACAAAGTCAAAGCCCCTACATCCAAAGCCTCCAAGAAAAATATGAATTGGTCCCAGGCCATGGAAGAGCTCAAAAACGATTTTGAGAAGCAAGTTAGAGAAGTAGAGGAAAAACTGAGAGTGATGCTAAAGGAGACCCAAAAAAATACTGAAGAAAATAACACCTTAAAAAATAGCCTAACCCAAATGGCAAAAGAGGTCCAAAAAGCCAATGAGGAGAAAAATGCCCTAAAAAGAAAAATTGGCCAGATGGAAAAGGAAGTCCAAAAGCTTACTGAAGAAAATACTTCCTTAAAAATTAGAATAGAGCAATTGGAAGATAGTGACTTTATGAGAAATCACGACACAGTAGAACAAATCCAAAAGAATGAAAAATTAGAAAACAATGTGAAATATCTCATTGGAAAAACAACTGACCTGGAAAATAGATCCAGGAGAGAGAATTTAAAAATTATTGGACTATCTGAAAGCCATGATCAAAAAAAGAGCCTAGACATCATCTTTCAAGAAATTATCAAGGAAAACTGCCCTGATAGTAGAACCAGAGGGCAAAATAGAAATTGAAAGAATCCACAGATCTCCTCCTGAAAGAGATCCCCAAAGGAAAACTCCTAGGAATATTGTAGCCAAATTCCAGAGTTCCCAGGTCAAGGAGAAAATATTACAAGCTGCCAGAAGGAAACAGTTCAAGTACTGTGGAAACACAATCAGGATAACACAAGATTTAGCAGCTTCTACATTAAAGGACCGCAGGGCATGGAATATAATATTCGGAGGGCAAAGGAGATAGGATTACAACCAAGAATCACCTACCCAGCAAAACTGAGTATAATCCTTCAGGGGAAAAAATGGTCATTCAGTGAAATAGAGGACTTTCAAGCATTCTTGATGAAAAGACCAGAGCTGAATAGAAAATTTGACTTTCAAATACAGGACTCAAGTGGAACATGAAGAGGTAAACAGGAAAGAGAAATCATAAGAGACTTATTAAGATTGAACTGTTTACATTCCTGCATGGAAAGATGATATTTATAACTCATGAGACCTTTGTCAGTATCAGGGTAGTTGGAGGAAAAAAATTATATGTATGTATATGTAGATAGATAGAGGGCACAGGGTGAGTTGAAGATTAAGGGGTCATATCTGGAGAATAAAATTAAGGGATGAGAGAGGATTATACTCGGAGAAGAAGAAAGGGAGAGGTAGAATGGGGTAAATTATCTCAAAAAAAAAACAAAGAAAAGTCTCTTACAGTGGAAGGGGAAACAGGGGAAGGTGAGAGGGAATGAGTGAATCTTATTCTCATAGGATTTGGCTTAAGGAGGGAATAACATACACATTCAATTGGGTATGGAAATCTGTCTTACCCTACAGGAAAATAGGGGGAAAGGGGACAAGAGAGCAGGGGGATGATGGAGAGGAGGGCAGATTGGGAAAGGGGTTAATCAGAAGTAAATACTTCTGAGGAGAGACAGGGTCAAAAGAAAGAATAGAATAAATGGGAGGGCAGGATAGGATTAAGGGAAATAGAGTTAGTTTTTCACAACATGTCTACTATGGACGTGTTTTGCATAACTGCACATGTACAACTTATATTGAGTTGTTTGCCTTTTCAATGAGGGTGGGTGGGGAGGGAGGAAGAGAAAACAATTGAAACCTAAAGTTTTAAAAACATATGTTTAAAAAAAAATGTTTTCACATGCTACTGGGAAATAAATATAGGAAATGGGGTACAGAAATCTATCCTGCCCTACAGGAAAATAGAAGGGGAAGGGGATAAGAGAAGGGGAGAGAGATAGAAAAGAGGACAGAGTGGGGGAAGGGATATTCAGAACGCATGACATCTTGGGGTGGGGGGGTGGGGTGAAAATTTGGAACTCAAAAACTTGTGGAAGGGAATGTTGAAAACTAAAAATAAATAAATTTATATTAAAAAATTTTTTTTTAAATTAAAAAAAAAGAAATATTTAAAAGAAAGGCAAGCTGCATGTGAGAGAGATGTTCATATCCAAGCATCTTCTTCAGTTATACTCCGTGTAGGGAAATGCACATTCTATTCGATGCTTAAGTTCAGAATAAAAATAAATAAAATGCAGGGTTGTACAAAACGCTCTTGCCTCTGTCAGGAAGAATCAGGCCACCTCCAGCCAGCAAAGGGTACAGACTGAGGCACGGGTTTGTTCACTTCTTGGCAATGCAGAAATTTGTTTTGCTGGCTTAAGTGCTGGTGACAAGTTTTGCTTTTCTTGCTTTCTCCATGGGGGTTGGAGGGAGAACAAAAGCAAGCCTTCTCATCTTAATTCTCTGAGGCCATCAGTCACTTTACTTTATCTAACATTTTGTTTACATTTTTCAGATAAGAAATGGTCTAAAAATCAGTGACACTTTCAAATGGATGAACTGTTCTTCAGCAGCTCTGCAGTCTGCAGAAAAACTGATGATCCGAGGTCTTTAAGCTTCTCATCACAAGCTTCATCCTTATGGAATCTGGAGAAAATTAAATTTAGAACCTCGACTCAAAGTTCTCCTCTGCATCTCCCTGGGGTGTGGAGAAGCCTGGGAGATCTCCAAGGCTGTCAGGGGAATGACTGAGCCCTGGAAGGATGCAAGTAAGACCATGGTGACAGGTTTTCTGTTTGGAGAAGCTCACGCCACAAGGTGGCCACGGAGAAGTAACGAAGATCTCAGACTGGGCAGTTCATGGAGATCATGTTATGAATGGCATGAGCAGGGCCAGGAGAGAACAACGAACGCACAAACAAAACAAGCGTGGCACAATCACAAAGACCAAGGACGTCCCAAAGAAGACAGAAGGTGGCCCCGCCACAGAGATGGGATGTCCACAAATGCAGTGTCCTGCAGGTATCTCACACTTTTTGATGCAGTAATCAGTTCTGCTCATTCTTTTTCTCTCTCATTTTCTTTCTTTCTTCTTTAAAAAATAATTTGTTATGTGGACTGTCTCTCTGAGAGAAGACGGGGAGAGATGCTGGGAGAAACTGATGTGTTAAGAAAAAAGACAGGGGCAGTGAGGCAGCGCAGTGGAGAGAGCACCAGCCCTTGAGTCAGGAGGACCTGAGCTCAAAACCGGCCTCAGACACATAACATTTACTAGCTGTGTGATTCTGGGCAAGTCACTTAATCCCAATTGCCTCACCACTTAAAAAAAAAAAGACAAAAAAGTCATCACTTTTTTGAAGGTAGCCTGGCATTCAAGATGGAGACTAGACACAAAAATTTGGGCATGCTAAAGCCACAGAATGCAGCTATATCAATGAGAGGCCACTCCCAGTTACAAAGGGCTTCCGAGTTTACAGAATGTGTGTCACTTCTATCCACACCATGGCCCTCACCCAGGCTGGTGACCTGGTCAAAAAGAGAATGAGGCCGGGCAGGCATCATCTGCACCGTGGCACCTGGTCATCGCTACTTCCCTTGCTGGCCGCCTGCTTTCCCAGGACTGAAGTCGAGTTCCACGCCTAGAGTCTGTAGACTCAATTCTCTCCTCTTGTCTGAGC